ATATATATATATATATATATATATATCTTATTATAGCAACATTTTATTCTGCCATTATTATTGGACGTCATCATGAAGTTGTTGAGACTTGCACGCGATACTTAAATTATCACTAGTTACCCTCGCTTCGCGCGTCTTTACATTACATTACAAACATTTTAAAAAGATAAAAATATTTATTGCGAGTGTACCTTATGAGATAGATATATGCTATTGTGGACCTTTGTAGGCCTTTTCAAGACCTACAATTTTCTAGTACATTGTTTTGATGTATCTCTTCAGGTTTAGCCAGCGTTAGCTACGTAAATTGACTGAACCAGTTATTGTTTTCCCGTGGGAATGAAAGGTTTCCCTGTAATAAAAGGTATCCCAAATATTGATCCGAGTAATAAGTTATCACTACACAAAATTTTGTTAAAATTGGTTCAGTACTTTTTGCGTGAAATGACCACAGACACAAGACATACAAATTACAATTACTGTTGTTTTGGGGTCTATTTTATTCTCTGTACACGATAAGGGCGTAACTACGAGTATCATGATTTAAAAAAAATAATATACAGATTTCGTTTTGTTACTGTTTTACTTATATTAATTATATATACTCATAGAAATGTATAGACAATTTATATGCGTATATGATTTAAGAGGATTGTGAAGTGCCGATACGCGGCGAGAGTAGGTATTTTTAAAAATGCTATCTGTTTCATACCGCTTTGCATCCCCCCGGCAGTGAACAACACAAATACAACATACGCAAATTCTCACACACACTATGATAGCAGCAGCCGGTGACGCGCGGGCGCTTGCGGGGGGCGGGGGCGGGGCCTTGCGACTCGGCGCAAGAGCAATTTCAAAGTTTATCTAATATTTATTATTTTAACGGTTTGCGTACAATATACATTCCCTACAAGTTACATCGCACCTTTATTCATAAACTGAAATAACTCTAAATTACAATTCTGTGGCGAATATCATGTAAAATTTGACTTGTTTAGATTGATGACTTCAAAAAATCATAAAAAAATAAATAGGTGGTTTAGATCAATTACAAAAATCTCGTTCCAAAAGTTGAAAGTTATAGAATTTTTTGTTGTTTATGTAGGTACTAATAGACCCATCGGAATCCTTTTATTGTTAAAATAATTATTTTATTGAAAACCTGAAGTTTTATGATTTTATAATGTTAGCAGGTATATAAGGAATAGAAATTCATAAAATGACCTGATCATGAATGATGATGATTTACGATTTTTTAACATATCTATGACTAAATTTTATAAAATATATCAACTTAATTTTTTTAAATATATTTTTAACTAATGAATAAACAAGATTAGATTACGAATGATTTTCATTTCTTTCTGTAATTGCCCTAAAATCATTTTTTTCAGAAAAATCAATAAAATTAACTCCAAAAACTAATAAAATATCGATAATTTCGAAAAAATTATAACGAATAGTATGTGTATATATATAATTATACACATACTATTCGTAATAATTTTCATAAAATTATAACGAATATTATAAATTATAACGAATATAAAATTAAAAATATAAATTTTACAAAAATAAAAGTATTTTTATTGCTCCTTCTAAACGGTAATAGTCCAGCAATTAGCAAAAGAAAGCGTGTGACCGGTGGTGGGCGAGGGGTGGAGGGCGAGGGGTGGAGGGGTGTAAGAAGTGGTCCTTACTCATTCAAACTTGGCCAGATATAATGATGATGATGATATAGAAAATATTTTTATTTTTGTATGAAAATGAAAATTTAAGAAATTTTTTTTTTTTCTTGTTACAGAGGTTGTTGTTATGATGTAAATAGTATATTCCCAAAAGGTCTTCAGTAAATTAAAAATGACCCTGTATATATATATATATATTTATATATATATATATATATATATTTATATATATATATATATATTTATATATATATATATTTTCAGTTTTGTATTTTTTCTCAGAAATGAGATATTTTCCCGCGGTAATGCTATAATATGTTGATCCGGATAACCAGCTACCACCATACCAAATTTCATAAAAATCCCTCCAGTGGTTTTTCTGTGACGTGGTAACAGACAGACAGACATACAGACAGACAGACAAAAATTCAAAAAACTATAGATTCGGCCTCTGTATCGATAATAATGTTTATTTCAATAATATTTTCCAAAAAATATTTAATGTACAGATACGGCTTAGTTACAATCTATACATACGAGTATAATAAAATTCTAAACTTTGGATTGAATCCTTTCAGTATCGATCGATATATCGATATTACCTTCTCCTCCCTAGGAGATAATAATATCGATAGCACCTTCAACATCACTACAGTCTAAAATATGCCCCTGCCCCCGACCCGTATGGTGCGATAGAGAGAGTTGCAAGTCTTAGACTCAATTACCTACATTTCCTTTTTGAAATATTGTTTCGGGCGATAACGTTTTCACCCCCCTAAACATTAACGAAATGAGACGATTTTGGTCTCATTAGATTCAGTACACCTTAATCTAGGTCTGTACGTTTTCCTTTTTTTGTAATTCAGTTTAGTTTAATTTAAACAAATAAAAACGCTGGAGGAAGTTTTTAGGTCAAAAATATAGATATTTAGATGCTAATAACTTCTGTCGTACGCAATATTTCAAAAAAATAAAAACGTACGGACCTAGATTTTGATTATATCTACAACATTTCCAAAAATTATGAAAATTAGACTATGTTTAAGGGGGGAAAAACGTTATCGCTTTTTGTATGAAAATTTACAGGTTCACAATCCTCTTAAGATATGCTTTAAAATATTTATAATCCTTAGTTGTTTTTTGTTTAAGTTTATTTAAATTTTTTTTATTGTAGTTTCAATAGTAAAATTAGTGTATGACTGTATTCTAAAAATAACTTATTGTTAGACAGGTCATTAAACTATTGAAAAAAAATGACTCATTATATTAGGTACATTATTATTCTATATATAAATATTAGAGAATAATCTTTATAATTATAAAAAGATTTACCGCTTCGTTGCTTCAAGGGAAACTAGCATTGAAGTAGGTAGGTAATTACAGAAACGGAAAACAACTCTAAAAATATTTCAGTGCCATAATTTGTAACTAATAATACGTGTTATGTAAATATCGGAATGTAAAATATCAGTAAGAACTTCTAAGAAAATATTATAGATTGTAGCCAGTTGATACCAATCAATGAATGCTGTTGTTTTGTTCATATAATCAGCGTACTATATAATCTACTGGTAGTCGGCTTATTAAGGAGTTTTGATATAATCGATTACTAATTTGTAATATTCTGAGTCAACTCTCATATATACCAGATAATTTAATCATTTCGCTAAATCAATAACAATATGACCTTCGGATTCATGCAAAAATCGCTTGCATACGACACAATTCTGTTGATAAGTGGACTAATCTAATATTCAACATACGTAATGTGATAAAACACAAATTCTCTCTGACTCTTTGTAAAATTTGAATAAAGCAGTTATTGTTCTATTTACATGATTATTAGTAAAAAAATTGGTTTTGTGGCGCGACTACTGCTAATTACCTAATTTATTTAATTAATTAATTTGAACAAAATCGCACAATTTTGTTCAGACTCAAAATTATGTATTCAGACGTGTATACTGTATAGTGTATACTGTATGTACAAGTTTTATTGTTTATGCTTTACAATTATTATGAGTCACCGGCGGCTGTAGCAATTTCATAGTTGGCAGATTCGAGCGACGTAAAACCCCGATGAAAATCCCCGCACCGACCCACTTGGTGGAAGTTGTTATTTGCGAGAAACAACCATACATAACTATATATTTTATATTAACTTGGAAACGCGATAGTCTCGTGATCGTGTTGTGATTGGTCGAAAAAGTTGACGTCATATAAGAGCACCAATCACAAGTCGAGCGAGATATTTTTAGACATGAACGTACAAAGTGGTGGGATTGAGGAAAATTGTTAGGGCGCCTCGGCTCTCGATATTGCACAACGTTTTCGGAGCTCTGTTTGAGCGTGCGTATGTAATTGAGTGAAGAAAGTTCATTGAATTCTATAAAGTTTACGATAAAGTCTATTAGAGGTTTTCACTGCTCACATGCTTTTTAGTTACTTCTTTTTCATTTCTTTTAAAAAGTAACTAACTAAACACGTGATAGTGCCTACAAAAAGTTACTTTTTGTAAGGTGAGTTCTAGAAAATAATAGCTTTATTTTCAAATTAGTATAAGTAAAAATTCTCAACATTTGAGAAAACTCAAACAGTAAAAGAGTTTCTATTACTATTATAGAATTAGTTTAAGGAAAATTCATAAAAGCGTAATTTGTGTGGACACGTGAGCATGTCGAGACTTGTCGCTCTCACGTTGTACCGATGCGCGTTCCAACTTCTCATTTGACATTTATATTGTTTTCTCGAATGTTGCAGAAATTTTAATCTTATAAAATTGTTAGAATACCGATACATATATTAAAATTTATTCTTGAAATTTTATCAAAAACACTTTATTTTTATTATTGCGCAATAATTTTATTAAACTCAAGGTTGCTTTTAGTAGCCCATCGATTTAAATTATCGTTAAATATTTAAATGTAGTTAGATACCTACAAACGTGTATCTACTATACTTTAAAATTATGCTTCTAAAACATGACATTTACAAGTAACTTTTCCTATATGAATAATTATCAACATCACCTACGTCAATGATGACCTTGTTTCTGTGAAAGTGTTTTTATGGAGGAATAGGAATCTGAATAATTTTATGTACTTAAGTACTTATTTACTAGTTTATTTATTTACTAAGACTATTTTACATCAAGCATTTATAATACTGCATCAAAAAAGGTTGAGTCATTGTTTTCATAATGGACTTCTCTGTCATGAGTTAAGTACATTAGGAGTGGGTTCAATCAATAAATGTTAGTCACCACATCGACTCAAGGCCAACAAAAGTTCAAATAGCAGAATGTATATTATAATGCATAGGAAATCGTGGTATAAGCACATTGTGCTTATCTACTTCTGTGGGTTAGGTACTTTGGTACCACCTACCACTTAAAATGGTATCTATTCTAACTGGAATATAAGTTAGGACGATTGAAACTTCAAGATACTTTTTATATCATTTTATTTGCAACTTTTAAATATCTAGAAAATTCCTTAGGTCAAAATGTAAAATGATAGTATTATTTTATTTTTAACTTAATATGTTTTAAATTAGCCGAATTCCTTTTATATTAATAGTTTTATAATCTGTTGTTTTGATAATGTGATTTTTACGTTAGCATGATAAATTCTAATGCATTTTGTATATATCTTTTATTCAAATCTGTAATATCCTCGAAGACGTTATCTATCATTAACATAATGTCCACCCACTCACTATAAATTATTATTAATAACAGCATAATTTGAATTTGGGCATTCGAATGCTTTATTTTTTAAAAATTACTAGTTACTTAAATTTTTCACATAAAAATATTGGCGTAAGAATTTAATCGCAAATGTTACAAATGTCTATAATGTGCTTTATGGTGTTCTTTTATTGTCCTAGGTCTTCTGCTGTAAGAGTTTCTTGTCTGGGAGCCTAGAAGGTTAAGATTTCCGTAGGAACTCAAGAAGAGTTCAAAAAAGTAAGTAACGCCGCTTCGGCGGTTTTGTTCCCCTAAACACTTTTTTTGTTGCAGGAATTTCAAGACTAAGCCCAGATCGAAACGATTCAAGATAGAACAACTTACAAAAAAAATTTCTTTCTCTTTTACTAAAATAAAAAAAAAGTTGCTAGTTGACTTTTTATATTAAAATAGTTATGCGATAGCATTTAATACCATAAAATCAGTTTTATTCAAGAATTGAGTACACTTATTTATGTATATTATAGGAGTTTCAAATACAACATTTTAAAAACACCATTTCATACGTTACAATTTATTTCAGGTTTTACTTACATATTTAACGCATGATCACTAGATAAACCAACCTCTTCAAATTACACCAAACATACAAATACATACAATACATCTTAATGTATATTTATAAATGTTTCCATAAAAGTAACATACCATTCCTTACAAGTACATATAAAAGTAGTAAAAAGTTATAAAATCCCGACTGCGTAAAATAAATATTATTAAAGGAAAAGATTATTTTTACCTTTCTACATATTTTATTTCCTTACTATTTTTTCCGCAGCACCATGTTTAATGTCTGTGCCATTTGGGCAAAATTTGTATTATACATTAGTTTGTCAGTCCCATAATAAAGACGGAAGAACGAAATAGATATATATACGTATTAGGTACATACTAACGACAAAGACGAATGACATAACCAACCCTCTATCGGCATTTGGGTAGGAAAATGTTACCCATCAAGTCATATCAGATACATATATTCAGACGTAATTGTACGACGTACGTGATTTGTTTTATCCAAACAACATTTTCCTAGATAAGTCAATAATTTCCTTTAAAAGATAAATCGAGCGATGAACAGAAAGATGGTATGAAGATGAATAATATGAAATAGGAACTCACAAACATACACACCACATACACTACATGCCTTTACACTTATTTGCATTAAAACAAACGCAATTCACTAAAATTATCTCTTTAAAATGAATTGAAACAGACGGTTGAACAACCCATAAAACCTGAAATGCAACCAATTTTCAAAAACTTTATTCATGTCGGTTACATGACTTTGGCGTTAATTCCTATTACAAGTCCTATATTTGATTCTAATAGCTTTTTACAGTGGTCTGATATTATTTCGCAACGCGTGACATTGATAATTTTTTCAAGATATATATTTCAAATGATATATATGCACTCACCATTCCTTGCAATGTCATGTAAACGATATATATAATATATTCATCTGTGGGTTCATTACATATATATGGAATTAATTTAATGTATAATTATGTATTATTTATCAAAATAATCAAAATTTTCTAGTATTTTTTGTCCATATATGTGTAAATGGGAATTTATATCATTATGTAGTTCTCTTATCACGGGTCTTAAAACACTCCAAAAGTACCTTTACAAGTTCCTCTCACGCTTGTTTCTATATTCCAATCCTCTAATCCTCTGCTTCATATAAATATATACATTATGTTACGTCGTGTCATTTTTGTTTGTAGTTCTATTCAAAATGGTTGCTCAAAAGATCACCGTCTGTCCGCGAGGAGACGATAACGGAAATAAGTTCAAGTCGAATACCAAAAGACATGGTTTTTTCGCAAACGAGTGTCAATACTCAACAACTTTTGAAACTGGTAGAGATAAATCGCTTAAAGTCCGAAAAGAATCAACAGGTGAACGATCCAACCGGAGTGATTATCGGCGGAACTACCGACTCACCTTTGTCATCGCCCCTGGCCAGTACGAGCTTTTCCGAGGTAAGAGTGTATCGGAGTGACCGTGAGTATATAAAATAAATCTATTTAAGTTGTTTATAAGTTCGTTATATTTAATCTGCGACATGTTTTAAACATGTTCTAACATGAGTTATTCAATTTCAGGAATTTCTGGAAACGGAGCCTTTATTCGCGAATACAATGTTACACGAAACGGACGGCGAGTTCTTCCAAAGCCTGGCGCAATGGTGCGCCGCGGAGGAGGAAGTAGTACAGTCCATTGGTAAGTTACATTTTCTATATTATACATAATCTATATTTATTCAGAAAAATGAAATGTCTATTTAGAATTAATTTTTAATTATTTTTTTGATATAATTGAAAAATTCCCTCAGCATTTTAATTAGAATTTACAAATTTTACGAAATAATTTCTATTATTTGTTTTGCACAGATCCCCAAAAAGTAAGTGAAGAAAGGGCACATAAAACCGACACACTGCACACACAATTCTCACCACAAGGTTGGGAAATTTTCGACGCTAACTCACCGTCAGCGCATACTATACAGTCGTACCCAGTCTCGCCCAACACGGACGGGTTTAACAATTCATACATAGATTACTTCAATAACACACATTTGAACAACAAAATACCTTTTCAAGAGCAATTTGTTGACATCAACGATTTGCCAGTAGTTATAAGTGACTTAGCGTCAGAAAACGTCGACATCAACATGTCGATGGAGCCATGGGAAGAATATGGCTACACAAAACAAAACATACACAACACAATGCCCTTCATACACCAAGACGACTCAATGGACAAGAAACTGGTGTCAGTTATACCACGGGAGGTAGAGAGAAACGACATGATCATATCGGAGTATATCATCGACGATGGGTTCAAGGCGCCGGCCATCGCGGCCGCAACCCCGGCGCGGCGCGGCGGCCTGTCCGTGGACGTGCACGCGCCCGCCTTGCCCGACGCCATCAGTACCCCTGATGTTCTCAGCTTTGTTGAGCAATTGGAGAGAGAAAAATCCATTGTACCAAGCTCGGTAAGTATTGTATTTACAATCAAATCTTCTTGTTTTATTTTTACGGATCTAATGGTAATCCTTTAATTGCAGAACACCATTCAGGAACAAGCGCAACCAATATTTAAAGAAAGCTCCAGTGCCGACAATTCTCCGCAAACCATAGACTATTTCTTTAACTCCCCCAAAAGCGAACCTCGAGAGGACTCTGAAGATGAAACACCAAGAAAACAAGAAAGAACCGGCAGAAAAAGGCAACGGCATGATAGCGAAGGGTCCGACGAAACATATACTCCATATAAAGAACATCATACACCTAGGAAATACCGTCCCAGGAAAGCTAGTGTGCCTATAAAAGATATGATAAAGGCACTAGAAGGGGCACAAAAGGATGCACCAAAATCACGTCGAGGGAGACCTCCTAAAATGCAAAGGAGAGACAGTACAGTGTCTACAGTCAGTAACAACTCGTCAATGTCAACACATGAGATGAAGTACAGGGAACTAAGAGACAAAAATAATGAAGCTTCAAAAAGATCTAGGATGAACAGGAAGCTGAAAGAGCTGCAAATGGAACAACTAGCAGATGATTTAGAAAAACGAAACAACAAATTGAGGGTTGAAGCAGACATGTTGAGCCAAAGGATTAATGAACTCAGGAAGACGTTCATGTTGGCCGTGTCACAAAAAAAAGTTTGATAGATGCATTGATCACTTAAATGCATGGTTTATTTTCTAATCTATATTAATAGATTTAGTTATTGGTGTTTTGGGCTAATAGCTGTAACGTGGTTTATTGCTTAGATGCTATAGCCCTCTTGGCCATGACAGGAGCGTATCGCTCTAAAACTCTTGGATTTGACAGAATTGTTATAAGGACCTGACTAGATATTTTAGATGTAAGGTTTATTTTATGAATTACTTCGATCTACACTTTAATTATATTTAAAAAAAAGTTGTATGAAAATACTAAGTTTATCATTCTAAGTCTAATATCGTAATCATTCGGGTCAAGAATCTAGCTCGAATTTATTGTTATAAAAAAATAAATAAAAAAATGTCTATTGTATAAATTCATTGGTTAGTTCTGCATGATAGCTAACTATCGGTAGATAGATTTATTGTTTTATTGTACTTGGATTAAATGACTTCATTTTGTTAGTTTGTACTTTCATTCGATATTCCCAGAAGAGTTAATTATTATTACTCTAATTTTCAATATCATTTGGTCATAATATAGAGAAAAACACTAGATTTTATCTGAATAACAAAGAAGGATGAAGGACGTTACCCTTATTCACCCCATATGAAATTTAAAGTAATTTTAATTACGGATAGGCTTTTTTATGAGACCTTGCGGGTTTTGTTGGACCCTTACCATCGATTAGTAAAAATAAATAAAAGTTCTTTTTGATCGATGGGTTTACTCATATTGAAATACCTACAAATTGAAATTGAAAGATTTTATACGTTTTAATAAAAAAATAAATTTATCAGGAAATTTTATGATGTAAAAAAATAGGCTATTAAACAAAATTGAAGGGACCTTCACTACTTCTAACAAAGATGTATCGCGACCTTGGCCTTGAATTACTAATTTTGCTCCGCGATAGCGATGTAGTTTTCCAGCTGTTTCTAATCTATACTAATATTATAAAGAGGTTAAGTTTGTGTCGTTGTAGGGGGTAATCTCTGGATCTACTGAACTGATTTAGATGAAATTCGGTAAGAAGATAGTTTGAGCTCCTGGGAAGGACATAGGATACTTTTTATCCCGGAAATCATGCCTAAATGGGTGAAAATGGGGATGAAATTTTGTATCCGGAAATAAGCTAGGGAGGAACCCGAGCGAAACGAGGGTGACTCGCTAGTGTCAATATAAAAATGATCTTCATTAGAAAAAATCACTCACTTTTCCACAGAAAAGCTTTTAGTATTTTGATTCTGGTCAAATTTTAATTTATGAGTTGCACTTAACAACATTGGTCGTCATTGCCAGAAGCAATGTGTTAAAACACAAGCAAGTCAGACAGGAAATAGCCAAGTAGAAATTGTTAGCTTTTGTAATTCCTTGAATATATATTTTTTTTTATGACTGGCTATTCTGATTTAAGAGTTCCTTGACCCCTGCGCTAGAGCTACGAGGCCATCACAATTATCGCAGAAGGATACCTTGTTTGTAGTTGTAGTTCCGGCTTTCGAAATACACGTAAAGAAAGTTTTGCGAAGGTGTGCTTGCGATATCCTTTCTCAACTCGAATTTTTTGCTGGTGATTAAAATAAGTATATTTAGTATGAAGAATACGTACACTATACAGGCTTGTTTATACGTGTAATAGTAAATCCCATATGCAAATATAATCAAATAAATAAAAATCAAATATTCGTATAATATGGACATTGAACAGTTGATGTTGTTTCTAAAACGATTGTCAGCCATTTTGATTCAGAAGCTCGCTCATTGGTCTAAAATTTGCCTTCCTTTAATAAAAAATGTTACATGGATTTGTCCTTAGATGATAAAATAATATATTTTTAAAAACATGTTCTTAGGAATAGAAATGATTCGTCATAATTTATTATTTATTAGCATAAATAAAACTATTTAATTACGTGATACAAAAATGACAATTATCTACTTATTCTTAGGGTTGATTTACCTACATTTGTAAACAGAGATATTTATCTGTGACTAGAGAGTTACCCTTGCTTTGCTCGGGCGCGTTATATTTTATCTATGCATATTATAATAAAATTGTAACTAAGCCGAATCTGTACATTAAATATTTTTTGGAAAATCTTATTGAAATAGACATTGTTATCGATACCAGATTCCGAATCTATAAGTAGTTTTTAGAATTTTTGTCTAGTCTGTTACGACATCACAGAAAAACCACTGGAGGGATTTTGATGAAAGTTGATACCGTGATAGCTGGTTATCCGGGTCAACATATAGGAGACTTTTTACTGCGGGAAAATGTCTCATTTCTGAGAAAAAATACAAAAACTGCAATGTAAGGGTATACAATAATATGTAAAACCTAAGAATTTGTTTTTTGGTCATCTGAACGCGGGCGGAGCCGCGGGCAATGCTAGTAGATAAGCTATTGTGAGCATATGTACATTAGGAAATACTAAATAGAGACATGTTATCGTTGAGTTTTTTGTAGGCCTTTTAAAACCAACAATTTTTTTAGTAGGTACATTGATTTGATGTATTTCTGGTTTTGCCAGCATTAGCCATATAATCATAGGTAAACAGTTTTTTTTACTTGTAAATACTTCATCGCTCAACCATAGTGTACAAAATTTTAACAAATTATAGACAAATCTTCCTTTATCGCTCTTAAATTTGTATTTTTCCATGTAAGAGATTTTATTGCCCTTAAATATGTTATTTGTTAAATCTGCTACTAAGTCTTTGTACAAAAATATATAAAGATATATTAGACTCACTCTCCCTCCGCTCGGGTTCGTTCTTACTTAGGTTTTAACGTTTCGTATAGATTTCTCAGAGTTGAGATATTTTCCCGCAGTAAAAAGTATCCTATATGTTGAACCGGATAACCAGCTATCAACATACCAAATACCATTAAAATCTATCCAGAGGTTTTCTCGTGATGCGTTCCTAGACAGACAGACAAAAATTGTAAAAAACTAAGTATACATTCGGCCTCTGTATCGATAATAACTATTTCAAAAAGTCCAAAAGTCGATATGGTGGTTATAACTGTTGAAAACTGGCTGAGCAGTAATATTTTCCTTATACAAAATCTGAAGGACTTTGCAACTGCAACTTACTTTCATTTTTGACGACACGTTTGGCTCAGTTCGTAGTGACCCTACTTCCTGTGCCAGCGGTCGCGTTCGAATCCCACTGGGTGCCCCCTTCATTTGTGTAATGAGCACGAATGTTGTATGCACTTCAGTCATGGGTGTTTGTTTTTATTATAATATGTATGTATTTAAAGTTATATATATGTGTAGTGTATCAACTATCTGGTATCCATAACCCACGTCTCATAGCTTACATGGAACTATAGATAAAGTTGTGTGTTAATGCCCCAACATATTTATTAATTTATAAGGCCTAGGGATACCATGATAAAAATTGCGCCACTTGCTCTACACTAACATGGCGGTGTGGTTTTTGGTGAATATGATTTTTTTGGCTAATAAGCGTGTTGAGTCGATTTCGTAGTCTAAAACTATTCATTTTAAATACAAAGAAAAGGATATTATATAAACTATTGAAAATTTTCTCTTGTTCAATTTATTACATAAATATTTTCATCGTTAAATAAATGGGAAAGGAGATATAATTAAAAAACCTATTTTTAGGCGCCATTTTTTTATTATGGCGGCGCAAGCGGTACAGATACGAGGTGGCAAAGTAGAAATTAGAAAAGAATCTGTCGAAATTTATGATATCAACAATTTTCGAAACTCCCGGAAATCTTTCAAGTAACCTCTTTTTTGCACCAAATGAGTGGACTAAAAGGAAATGAAAGAGAAAAAAAGGTTGGCTGTAAAAAGAGTTATTTATTTATAATTCACAATAAGAGAATATGTACCAAACAAATTCTGACGATATTACAAACATAATATATAATCGCGACACACTTTAATCCAATAGGTTCTTGTGACCAGACCTATCTTGTACAATTAGGTACTTCAAATTAACTTTTAATTTTAATCGAGGGGCACAACAGTGCGCGCAAAACGCGCCAACAGCACTCGACAGCTTGAATACAGAGTGTAGAGATAAATAATACAATTAACATTCTAATAATATTCTAAATCGACTAAATATTTAGTATAGACATATTCTAAAATAAGGAAACAATATTCCCAGTGGTGGTACTGCAGTAAACAAATTCCTAGAGGTGTTTTGAATAATAAAAAAAAAACAAAAATAAAATTATTCACAAGGGAATTAAATTGGAGAGCACCTGTAACCAGTTATCAATATCAGTTCATTGCAAAATAGGAATTCGCGTAGATCGCTCTCGGCCAGAAATGTAACCTGCTTAGAACAAACCCATAGAAAAATTTACACCAATCAGTACATGGTCACGAGCCCCAGCCTGCGCCCGCGACGCCCGCGCGCTTGCAAAGGAATGATGGCTCGAGGGCATATTGCCACGTAGGAAAAACTTCAAGTTTCACTACGTCGCAAACACAGCATAAAAATCCATACAGTCGGCGATCGCCTATTGATTTTAAAGGACTTACGCATCATTTAAAAGAGTTGGAAAAAAAAATGTTAACTTTCATAGCAAACGGCTTTCGAGTTCTGGAACTAGCTATGCCATCTCGTGGCAAGTTAGTTATAACTGTCAGCACTAATACTTTCACCCGACTGTCATATAAAAGTGCGTATGAAAGTCGGGTGCAGGATTGGTGTCTATTTAAAATCTGTTTTTTAATCTCAGAGACAAAACTGACATTACGTGGGTTGCCAGCTTTTTGCAATTCTTAAATAGTGATGTGGGCTCAGCTTTAGTATACCGGTTCACCAGTACTGATTTTTTTGTGCAAAGTACTTATTATCTTGAGTAATCTCACAAAGGTTTAAGTGTAGGAAACAAATACTTTCGGAAATAAAAAATATCAAAGTTTGATATATATAACCTCAATCCTGCACTATTTTATTGTTTTTTTGGAGTTTTAATTATGCGTTTTAATTTTGCAAATAATAAGTTGACGTCCATTTTAATATTTATTTGAAAATTGACATATTTATTTAAAACGTAATAATAATACAGAAATAATAATGCAAATTTAAATTTAATAATGTGGATATAAAGGATACTTAATGATTTAAAATTAATAAGTATGATATTTAATGATTTAGAATCAATAATGTGAATTTTAATTATACACTTTGGAATAACGATTCAACAAACCGTTATCGTAGATACAAAAACACTGCACAAAAGAGCTGGCAAGATATTTTGTAAATTTGACATTGGCACGTGTTGATTTAGTCTCTTGAGATTAAAAACAGACTATATATATAGGCGTGGTTGGACGACTGTATGGACGAGTACTCTGTGTCGCCCCCGACTACGGCGCGGACGCAGCAAGGCACAGACCGGGGCGGCCCCGCGGCCCGCGCATCGCACACCGCACTGTCACTACACGCACTCACTTATCACTTCACTCAGTCAGTAAGTTAATCGGAGGCGCCGTCGTCGGCGTCCTCGAGGAAGCTAAATTTATTCGATGCTACGAAGTTCTGAAAAGAAATAACTCATGTTAATATAAGTTAATTTAAAATATGTATTAGTGATCATTTTTCTATCCGGCATCAGAGTTAGCTTCACTATGTTACATAAGCGATAGTTCTCTTAATGGATTATCATTGCATTTATGTTTATAGGTATACTTCTTACTGTACACACATTCAAAATTGACGTATTGTTTAATTTATTCTAATAGGAATTTCATCTACTCCTAATATACTGTAACTATTTTTTTAATGTCCACTAAGATAAATAAAAATAAATAATATGGGTAACATAATTTTCATGAATTTCTTGTGCAGAAAAAGACATACTTTTTGAGGTAAGCTTCAATATTCATGACAGAAAAATCAACGTCATTGCTTAACAATCACTAAAAATACCAGATTACTTAATTTTTTATGATTTTATTATATCCATTACATATAAAAAATAATATCTCTAATATTATAAAGAGGCAGACTTTGTTTGAACGCACTAATCTGAGGAACTACTAATCCGAGTTAAAAAATATTTTTCTATTAGACAGGTAGAACGTTTATTGAGGAAGGCTATATATAGGCTATATACCATTATGCTCATACCCAAGAGAGTATCAGTAATCATCAATCAGAGATCAGAAATCATAAATGTCAACAAATCGGGCAGACTTCCATACATTTAGTAATAGTTAGTGTAGGTATAAAGCGACCGAATCCAGCACAAAGCAGGACACGGTGTCTAGTTAACCCTCTTTGCTGTAGCGCAGTAAGACAATGTCTTTAAAGCAATCTAACAACAGTATGGTAGATTGCTTTATGATAACGCAATATACTTTAAAATAAAACTTTATTACAAAAAAAAAACAAATCATCTTCTGTGTATTTATAATAGATAAAAATTATGATAAACTTATTTTATCAATTTTTGAACTTGTTGATAAACTGAATAATTAGTTGCGGCAAATGAAAACATGTTCCTTAATTTGATGCAATATTGATTAATTCTGTTAAACTTTTGTTTAACTCAATTCATGTTGAGAATATTCGAAAAAAAAATCACATCAGCAACTCTTACTTGAATTGTTTGAATAGCTTGTTGAGTAGTCTGTGTGTTAATGTATAAAAATTATTAAAAAAATCCTAAGTAGGCAGACATGATCCCCTTCTTTTAATTGATCCAGCACTTTTCACTATATACTTCCTATACATTCACACCTTCCTATACAGTCACATTCTTTTAAAAGAAAATCCCATATACTATTTCTGAATCTATAAAGATAATGTAGTGTCAAAACATACCGGTTTCTCCTGTTCCTTCAGCTTGGGCAAGGGCCTATCATCAGGCTCGAGTCTGTCGCGGCTACGACTATGACGGCCATTTTCTTTACTCTCGGGTGACGCCGCCCTCTCGCGAGACGGTTCGCGCCTGCTCCTATCCACGTCCCTGTCCCTATTGTCCTTGTGGTCGCGGTCCTTGTCCCTATCATCGTTGTTCCGCTCTCCATCCCTGTACTCACGTTCGCCGTCCCGATCGTCTCGTCTGTCGTCGTCGCGCCGGTCTGTCTGTCTATCCTTGGAGTGGTCACGACGGTCCCGGTCGTCCCTGGAGTAGTCACGTCTATCTCGATTGTCCCTCGAGTAATCACGTCTGTCGCGATCGTCCCGCGAGTACTCGCGCCTGTCCCGATCGTCTTTGGAGTAGTCGCGTCTATCTCGATCGTCCTTTGAGTAGTCGCGTCTATCTCTGTTGTAGCTACGTGAGTCTCTGCCGCGGTCCCGATCATCTACCGAACAAAAGAATGTTCATGTTTTTTGGAATATTTTAAATAATAATATAATTTTATTAGGATTCAATTATGATTACAGATAAACAGTATTGTAAAATACGTACCACGTCTTGCTCCTCCACGACGATCACCCGAATGATCATTCTGTAAATATAAAAAGTTTTAAGATCACATACATCACATTTGAAGTTTTATATACGTATACTTACCATATATAATTAACATTTTGTTATATTTTTTATTTTAAAATGAAAAAATAATAATAATAATACAAGAACACTAACCCGACGACCCCAACGTTCTTTTTCTTCTGCAGCGCGTCTCGCTTCTTCCTCTTGTTTTCTTAAGCGCTCTTCTATTTCACGTTCCCTGATAAAAACAAATAATGTGTTAAAATTTTGCAATTTTGTCACTCTTAACAACATAATAAAATTAATAAATAGTTTATAATGTTGGTATAAAGCGACCGTATCTAGCATGAAGCTTGATACGGTGTCTAGTTGACCTCTTCGCTATGGCGCATAAAGACTAAGTCTTAGAAACAGCCAAAGATTAATTACTTTAACTGTTCTAATTAATGCGCTTTTATTCATTACATTGATTGTTATAAACGCGAAAGTTTGGATAGAAATTTGTTACTTAATCATGCCAGAACAGCTGAACGGATCTAGATCAAAGGCACAGAGATAGGAAATAGTCTGGAATAGCACATAGGCTACTTTTTATCTCTGAAAAATGTATGATTCCTGTGGGATAGATGTTTGTGTTTTTCACTAATTTCTTAGTAATTAATAAAAGTTTTAAAAATTTGGCCAAAAAAATGTGATTTTATTATTAAATACATCTGCATTATTTATTTATTAATTTTAATCAAGTTTGCAATATGAAAAAGATTGTCTACTCAACAAGCTGAAATGTCTAACAAAATGTAAATATGTACCATTTTCAGTAAATATGATATGGAACGATTTTAGAATAACAGTATTCCTTATCTAAAATTTAAATGGTCTAGATAAGCAAACAATACAAACAACTACTCACACATTCACACAGACTTTCGCTATTACAACTAATGTTCTCTTTAATCTGCAGCACGTGTCGCTCATTCTTTCTTGCTTTCTTAAACATTTGCCTAGGCTATTAGACCCGATACACATATACAGTGCACATACATAGTGCCAATAACGGTCCTTTCCCTGTCTGATATCGGTTTGCTCAAATATTTTTGTACAGGAAACTATGAGGGCATTGACACTATCAGTAAAATTCGAGTTCCGTTCAAATAACACTCCAGCAACGTTTCTTGTATAAAAAATTAAAATACTTTACCAGGCCGAGATTGGTCCTTACAGAGTCTGTCCACTACACAGTCTCATACCATGACCGTGTTAGGACCGTGTCAGGCAAAAAAAAAAATATTTTTATTGAATAGTATGAGACTCTGTTAGACTAGACCGTTCCGTCACCGACCGGCACCGTCGCGTACCCTGCACGGAGCACCGCGGGACCGGTGAGCGTAGGCGGCGCAATGGTGAGCATATACAGCATTAAAACTGTTGTATATGGGTGTGATACGCTGTTGATACGGTCTAGTGGGCATAGTAGTTCATAGCACGGTCATGGTATGAGACAGTGTAGTGGGCAGACACATTGGTAACGCGCTCGCTTGGGAAACTGAGTGAAGCGGGTTCAAATCCCGTATCTCACAACTCTGATATTTTCATGTGCGAATCATTTATAACATGATTACCACTTGCCTTATGGTGAAGGAAAACATCGTGAGCAAACCTGCATATCTGAGAGAACCTAGCAAGTTCTCGAAAGACATGTGCAGTCCGCCAACCCGCACTTGGCCAGCGTGGTGGACTATGGCCTAATCCCCCTAGTTTTGAAGGATGGCCGCCCAACAGTGGGACGTTAAGAAGGGCTTAATACATATACTCACTTGGCAGCTGTGTCCACTGGCTTGGCAGCCCCGAACACCTTCTCGGCGGGCACGGGCTTGGGTGCGGCCTTCTCCGGCGGCCTGTCGTCGAGTAGCGCGCCGTCCGCCGGCTTGGTGGGCGCCTCGGTCTCGCGCGGCACCGTGCGAGGTAGCAAGTTCAGCTTGGGCCGCTCGCGGGGCTTGCTGTCTGTTGTTTATTTATTTATTATACAAAATCAACGGGAGGTGAAAAATAATACTGAATAATATGGTATGTAACATATATTAAATAAAATGTAGTTATTTTACATTTCACCCTTTGTAAAAAAAAAAAACTAAACCATACAATTATCCTACTCCTGATACTCTATTATGTTCATTTCATTCTCGCGTAGGTTACTTTTCTGAAGTTTCACTTTATTTTATTTTTTTAATTTTAACAGACAATAGCCTGTACAAATTTAATTTACATATTCCGGAATTATTATTTATATTATAGATAGCCACTATGAAGTAATGCCCTTACTAATAAACAGTATTTAATTTTTATTTATACATATAAGTAAAACTGTTTTTGTTTAAACATTTATTTAATTCCATTGTAAATTATTACAAAATTGTCTAAATAAAATATATACAAAAATGAAAAATGTACCTTCTCTAGGTGGATCCCGATCCCTGTCACCAAACCCTCTGCTACCGAAACCTCTGCTTTCGCGTCTAATGTGAACAAAAATAAAATTACAAGATGAATATTGTGCAAAAGATTTATTTACAAAATTCTTAAGATATCATTATATAACTAGTATAATGTATAATATTCAAGACATTTTATATATGTTACTGTAAAAGCCTATATATCGGTAAATCTTACGTTTAACTAGTATATCTAAGGATTTACCGACATGAGTTGGTAAATGTGAGGATTTTATAAAAAAGAGAAGACCTCTTGCAGTAACGTATATTAAAAGTGAATTATATACATATATAATATGGGAATATTGAGTCCGTTATATTTAAATTTACTTTGAATAATTCCTTAAAACCTATGCGATTTCATATTTGTTTAAACAATAAATACTAACCCATATCCCCCCTCTCTTTCAGCGGTGCGGAACCCGTCGCGGCCGCCGTAGCCGCGTTCTCGTCCACTGCAATAATTTAATTAATGTAAAAATTAACATTATTATAACGGCTAATAAAATTTTCGATGAAGGAAAATATCGTCAGGAAACCTGCATGACTGAGGACCTAGCAAGTTTTCAAAGGCCGCCCGCACTTATCCCACGTGGTGTACTATGGCCTGATTCCACTCACATTGAAGGGAGGCCTGTACCCAGCAGTGGAACTCACAAAGTCTGAATACTAAACATTCCTATATATTAATACGTGAAGCAAAAACTTTGTACCCCTTTTTACGAAAATTGCGCGGACGGAGGAGTATGAAATCTCCCACACTTATAGTTTATATAGAGAAGGAGTGCAGAATGCTAATCCTTTTTTAAAATTATGCATAAAAATACATTAAATCAATAAAAAAAAACATACACACATTAACCATGTATTTGACACACACACACATATATACTCTTTTGTTTATTGTTAAAGCCTGTGGTCAAATTGAGAATTATGTACATATTAATACGTGAAGCAAAAAATTTGTATCCCTTTTAAGAAAAATCAATAATAATCATGGTAGAAGTTCGATCACTCTGCCAACTCTAGTTTATATGAAAGCTTCCATACCCTTCCCGGTCCCTGCCGTAGGAGTCACGGCCGCCGTAGGGCGCGCGCGGCGGCTCCGTGCGCTCAGCGTCGCGCCAGCCGCCAGGCCGGTTGTCTGCACTCGCTGATATATAGGGACACATACAGTATATTATTATTATTATATTATCAATATTGACAATTAACTAAAACACTTGGTATATGTATTTTTCACCTATATATTTATACAATAGCTTATATACAAAGTCACTCAGATAAGCAACAGAGTAGGAGCAAGCCAAAGACTAGTCTGAATTGAGTTACGGCAACACCGTGTCACAGATTATACTAAAACAGCTGGTCACAGGGAAATTCCAATGACCTTCAGAGCTATGTCTCCTCTAAAATAGACTCCTCGACTAGATCTAAGGTCAATGTTTCTGGTTTCCCTGCCATCGCTATAGGCGATGCCCCCGGCTAGAGAGTCAGTAACCCACAGGCAACCTTTACTCAGACCTTCCCGAGATGAAATTGAGTAACTTATATCAACTTAAATCATAACAATATAATAACAAACTTTATATATAATATTTATGGAAAAAAGAAATAGGAATTTTCCTTAAAAACTGTTTAATTATATATAAATTATACATGTATATTAAAGTTGATAATGTACTCTGTACGTACATCCCAAATGTGACATTACAGCTTGCTCCAAACCACAATCACTTATATTCATCATAGTGACATGAGTAAATAATGTTTCAAACAATTAACTGATTGCTAGAAAATTAAATACCTAACATATTATTATGTAATAACTCTTGTAGTTAATTGCACTTATATCTATTGTATTCACATAGTGAGGAAAATTTTGTTATTCTAGTGAGAAATATAACTTCTAGTTCTAACATTTCCAATGATAACATTCAATAAAAATCTAGATCTTGATTATTTAATGAACAATAATAATGTGTAAATTCTAAATAGACATAAAAATAAAGCAATTACATAAGTACTGAGTTTGATAAATAAACATACAAGTTATTTTTTCTTTATTTTTATAGAGGATTTTTTTCACAAACCAAATATGTCACCCACATCATTGTTTTCAAATCACTAATTTAATTAATTTGAAAATTAAGAATTTTCATAGGAAACAGATATTCTCAAATAACGTAACAATGCTCTAAATAATTTTCACATTTCTAATATAATATCAAAGGTCTTCAAGAAAATCGATCAACTTCCTATCTTCTAATGAAACCTCCGTTTAAAAAACAAAAGTGTACTCACAGTCACGCTCGCGTTCGCGTGGCGGGTCACGGTCGCGGCGTGCCGGCTCGGGCACGGCGCGCGGCCCGGAGCGCCAGTCGCCCATGGTGCGCTCGGGGTCGTACTCCCTGAACAACATATACACAGTTTAGTAGACTTTTATTTGTATAGAAGATAAACAACTTACTGCGCCCCTAGTATAAGAATCATCTGTTGCTTCAGGTAATCATCTATGTACTAAATTTTACATAAGTCTGTTCAGCCATTATAGTGTGGAGGAATAACCAAAGGACATGCACATATAAACTTTCTTAGACTTGCACACTTAATCCGTAACTCCTCAACATAGTTCTCTGTTTAATAATTTTGTCGTAATATTTTGAGTTTTATAAAAATCTTATAGAACAAGGACTTTCATTTTTTTAGAAAACTAAATGGACTTTGTATTGACTATCTATATAGTTTGAGAAAATTAAGTTAAAATACAGTAATTACATAAGGAAGTCTCTTTACGGATAGTACTCAGCGTGAACGCAGTGATATGTACTAACTGCCAATCTTGAAAAAAATCAGTCAAGTGCATGTTCTTTTTATTAATATGTATAATTTTATTCAATGTATGTATATATTACTTCAATGATGGATTACGAACATTGAAAAAAGTTACTTATATTTATATTTGTGTACTTTTTGCAGCAGAGATTGACATTACTTATATTTATATTTGTGTACTTTTTGCAGCAGAGACAGCCCTTTGAAAGACGGACGGTCAGATTATAGTAATAGGGTTCCGTTGGCACCCTTCAGGTACGGAACTCTAAGAGTGTACACCTCTTAATATTCCTTAGAACACAAACATGAAAATCTAAACAAAACAAGTAACAATAAAACTTATTAAGGCTTTTTGGTGCACAAGCTGAACAACTTTTGTGTTACATATGTACATATACTCAAAATAATGTATATTGCATAAGATATAATTTTTCTTCTGAGTTGACATTGACATAGAGAATTTTTGTGATATTCTAGGTAATAATGTGCTTTATTTACCTGTCCCTATCAGATCTGCCGCTCCTGCCCATGCGTCGGTCATTATCTTGAGTGGAGACTTCTATTCTAATTCGTCTGCCACTTATTATCTAGAGGGAAATTAAACCATATTACATTATTAATACATATATGTTTAAAACATATTATATCTTGGTAACATATAATAGTATGGTAGTGTATACCATTAAATAATGCTGTACAGTATTTACACCACACTAAATTAACTTATTTGCTGGCACCCATGACTGAAGTAATAACATTCATGTTCATCACACAAATGAATGCCAGCGGGTCTCGAACCCACGATCGCTGGCACAGCAAGTAGGGTTACGACAAACTGAGCCAAATGCGTCGTCGTACATAAATAAATAATAAATAAATCTAGTTAATTATTAAGATAATTAACTAATATCCGATAGAATTTTGATGACTTACTAATAAATAATAATATATTTTTAAATATGTAATATTATAGAATAAGAATAATAATTATTTTCAATCGTACCAAGTCAGGCATGTTCATGGCGCTCACAAGACTTTCTCGATCTTCAAAGTCTACATCTCCAAAGCCCTTAAGACGACCTCCTTCCTTTGGAAGTCTTAAGTTGTTGATCTGTTAATAAAGAACATTTATAAGACACTGGTAATTTCAAGTATTTCAAGAGGACATTTAAGATTAAAACTGATGAAAAACCCAATACTGCTTGTCATAGGTACTTAAACTTAAAATTGTGGACTTATTTTTAATTGATTTAAATTAGAGATGTTGCATGAGTTTTGAATCGGTTCTTGCCTCTAGGTTATATTTCTTTGAATAATGAATACATAGTGTTTCAAACTGCAAAATTTATATTTTTGTTAATCTTAGTCATATACTTAAGTACTGAGTGTTCTATTACTAGATTATATTGCCGATTATTGTAAGACTGATACTAAAATATAAACAACAATTATTAATAACTAGCAGAATCCGCGACTTCGCTCGCGCTAGAACTACAAAAAAAGCTCTAAAAAGGTAGGTTTCATACAAACTTTCATCCCCTATTTTACTCTCTCATGGGATGTATTTCGAAAAATGCCAAAACACTATTTATTTAATTGTAATTTAAGGTTCCAGCTATAACAAATATTTTAGAAGCATTTTAAAGTTAATGTTTTTAAATTTAATACACAACTTAAATTATGTCAATCAAGTGAAATCAATAAAATGTCCAATGTAATATATTCCAGTTCATGAAAGCGAAACCATAAACTGCTTACATAACAATGACATTTTAAGCTAATGTGGTTAAACAAGTTCCTGTTAACATTGGCTTTTTGAATTTATGCCAAATCTTCATTATGTTTCTAGTAGAATCATGATATCTTCAAAAAACAGAATATTAATTTTGATTGTCGAGAAAACTAATACTTCTGTGAATATTTTTTTATTTAAATACATCTATCTATACATATAAAAATTGTAGTGTCTGTTTGTAATGCCAAAATAACAGCTTTTTACTAAATGCATGTTAAATTATACACAGTACATAAAAGAAAAACACAATTTATTTATTTTTTGTCTATCCGTTGGTTCTGGCTAATCTTTGAAACCGCTGGACTGACTTTGAAGAGGCTTTCATAGCTGATGATATAAGGTAAGTTACTCCCTACTTTATTTTACTACTTTTATTTTAGAAAAAGAATTAAAACATACCTAGAGATGCACTTGGAGAGGGTAAGTTGCTATTTTTTTATTTATTACAATAGATAGAGTATATATAAAATATTTACAAAATGGCACTTAATTACAAATTAACCACATGGCACATATCATGTGGTGTTTTTAGCAATTACATCTGTATATCATTTAACACATTTCATTTTATTGGAAGTAAATACTATGTGGTTTATATTTAATCATGAACTGTATAAACAATTACACAACAGTTATCTTAAAAACATATGTAAGATAAATAGTGTTGAGATTAAGTTGCTTTATATATTATACATATATAATAAAAGAGTAACTGATCGCTGTTTTTACATCGAAGATATTTGAGAAAAAATATTATTGGGGGGTTTTTATGAATGCAATAGAACCCAAAACAATGATGTCTCTTTATCTGTGTGTGCTAATTTCAGAAACGGCTTAATCAATTTGGGTGCAGTTTTTGCTAATGTATTGCGGAAAGCTTCATTTAACATTTTGTATTTGTTTTATTTCAATTGATTCACACATAAAAAATTATTTCAATTTAAGAATCACCTAGAACCATGCCCGAGTAAACAGAGGGTGTAAATTTTATGACTACAAACTTAAAAAAGATTACTTATGACTGTTACAAATTATCTAAAGGGACTTAGAACTCAAATTTACAATTCCTAATGTATAGAGCCAATCTGTAAATGGTCACTATAAAATATCAACTTACTGTGAAAAGATTAGTATACCTATTCAAAAGGTTCAATAGACATTTAACTAGTATTTGGAATTTTGATGTTTAAAAATAAAAATGAGTAAATAATGTAATTTTGACAATGAATAATCTCATCAATTTCTAATACTGTAATAATTTTTTATTTAAATTAAATTGAAGAAATGTAAAAAACTTAGAAATAAAATAGAGATTCACTTGTATAGTATAACTAGCAACTCACTCTCTCTTCGCTCAGGTTTAAAACCAATTCTATTCCATGGGAAACACATTTTTTGGGGATAAAAAGTGTCTATGTGCAATTGCAGCCAGCCTATTCCTAGATAAGTCTGTATATTCGATCTCTGTGCCAAATTTCAACCAGATCAATTCATTCATTCTGGCATGAGTAACAAACATCCATCCATTCAATTTTTCACATTTATAATTATAATGGGATTTGCCACCACAAATATGCACCTACCTTAAGCCCTTCAAACAGCTCCATTATCGCACTCTCCTCAACATCATAAGGCAAGTTTGAGATATGCGCAATAAAGGGTGGCCTGCGGGGTATAGACTCGTCATCTACTGCCAGACCTCCCCGAGCTGCGCGAGACGCCGATGGTAAGACCACCGGCGTGCGGTGGCGTGTTGAATTTGCATTGCTTGCTATGATAAAATATGTTAATATCTTTAGTTTTCTATTCATAAAACAAATATGAATTTCATGTTACTGATTTACTTTGAGAAATTACATCTTAAATTTGTCTATATATACTTATTATTTACTTACATATCATAATTTAAAACCTAATATTGCAATAAGCATTTAATATTACAGAGCACCCTCAGTTGTATAGGAGTCCAGCCAATGAAAGACTAGTCTGAATTGAGTTGTGACCTTGGTCATCTCGTAGATTAAACTAAAAATGCTGGTCATAAGGGTTTCCAACAATGTCATGTACATGCCTCCACTTTTGCCTACTGGTAAAGTATCCCAAGCTATACATGAAATCGTATTTTCTGGTTCCCTTATCTTTCTTATGAAGAAAGCATCCGGCTAGAATGTATCAAATCACAAGATCTTTCCTCAGACCTTCCCGAGGCGGAAGGAGTGACGAGCACTCAGTATGTGCACCCCACGTACGAGATTAACATTGGCTAGCCTTTTAAATATCATCATTGGGTGTTTTAAGAAAGTTTTTTAAAATAGATAAATAACAGGCCTTTACTTACATTCTTCATCTACCGAATCGGCCCAATTGTTTGCTGTAGCGATAGTAGTGGTTTCCGCAATAAAGTTTGTGGGGTCGGCTTTGATCCATTTTATTTTCTTTGATTTCTTGCCTGCAAAATGTTACGTCAACCATAATTAAATTTTGCAGAAATTTAGGGGTGGAATGTTCCCGATAGAACACAAAGGGTTTAATGAGATGACGCATATTAAGAGAATGTCCTTAGTCCTACTCTGATTTTGGAAAGTAGTTATTCGTAGATTTATTCAGCGGAGATTACGATATTTTTTCAGCAGCTGTTATAATTAAAGGGTTTTAATGTCCAACCAAGAAAATCAGCAAATTGAATAGATTTTTACATGGGGAAAAAGTTCATGAAATTAAAAGTTAAGAAATGTGGCCACGCGGTAAATCCAAACGTCCGCAAAGGTGAATTGATGACACGTTAGCATTACCTAATTAAACTTTATGCCTATGACAGTAACTTTTTGGATAGATAAAACTATCTACATTACATAACATACAAAAAAAATGAAATAAAACAATGAAATATATTGAAAATCGAGAGTTTTTCATATGACAAAATTAATAGAACTAACCTGCAGCGGCCATATTACAAGGCTGGGGCCAGTGTTGCCACTGACTTTACAGATTAAAACTCTTTCTCAAGCATGGATGAATAATAAAATTCTCAAGAGTATACCCGCCGCAAAATATAGTTATTGCCATCATTTAAATATGTTATTTTATTAAAACTTAAAAATATACTTTATTATCACTTTGTTGTTTAATTATAATATTATAAAAAATAAATTAGTAAATAAATGTACGATAATATAGCCGCTATATCTATAGTAATTCAAATGAGAAGTTACTATAAATCTTACTAATATTATAAATGTGATAGTTTAGATGGATGTTTGGATGTTTGTTACTCAATCACGCTAAAACGGCTAAATGGATCTGGATGAAATTTGGCACAGAGATAGACTATAGTCCGAAATAGCATATAGGCTACTTTTTTCCCGGAAAATGCACAGTTCCCGTGGGATATATCTGTTTTTGTTTTTGTAATTATATAAAATAATATGACAAATTATTAGAATTTATTTTTCAACAGTATTTTTAAACTATGGTTTTATAAGCTAAACACTAATTTTATAGACGGAGCCTCCGAAAAAGGTTAAACTCAAAAAATAAAAATACTAGTGTTATTTTGCTGATTATACTTATATTCTCTATTATTTTTATTAAAAACTAGGCTATTTTGCTATAAGTACATCGTTGATATTCTTAAAGGATTTTTTTTAGTTGTTCGTCGTTAATTTACTATTTTTGAGAAGTACGTCAGTAAGTACCTACTATTTTATTTTAGAACAATATTGTTTGTCTTCATGTTCTGTTCTATGACATTAATTAACATTATTTTAACATAATATTTGTGCAAATAAAAAAAAAAATAATCAAATCCTATTCTATTTTCATTCCTGTGTTTTTATTGCTTTTCGTTTTATAAAATGTAAGAAATCTAAATATGAAAGGTATTAACTTACTATTATTCTTATTAAGTACCAAAAAAAAAGAAGATTGCCAGCTTATGTAAATTTACTAATATTGTCATTTTAAATAAAACTATCTTTTCGGATTTTGTCGCGGATTTATTTGCATTTTTGTTTCCCGACGTTTCGAATGCTTTACAGCATCCATGGTCACGGGAGAGACTAAGGTGTTACATGTCTTGGAGGTATAGTTGTTACAGACAGCCTACCCACAATTAACAAAATGAAAATTGCACCAATTACATTACAATATTTTTTAACTTTAAACATTTTTATAATTTTAATTATAATTGAATATGGAGTATTATTTATTTAATTTTTGCTATTATTTTTATAATTATTACAATTTTAAAATATTAATTAGTAATCTATATTTAGTGTTGCCATTATTATATTTATAACCATAAAGAAAAATATAAAATATAGTGTTAATTATTTAAGCCATATAATTGTTCTATGTGTAATTTAAAAAGTTGAAGTTAATTTAGGATAATTATTTTAATTTAGTTTGCTATTATTTAAAAACAACTTACTAAGTAACACTATTACAAATGAGAAATGAAAAATATTAATCTGTTATGCTGTCATTTTGATCTACACAGTTTTATTTGTCATCCATGCTACACAGTAAGAACTTACTACATCTACCTGTCTGTTATGTTTATATTTATTATTTGATTTTATTATATTAATAACAGGATCCCATGACGATGGTAGTACCCAGCCATCTTCCCTGTTGAAATTAGGATGTTTTTACATTAAAAATTTATGGTTATAAATATAATAATGGCAACGCTAAATATAGATTACTAATTAATATTTTAAAATTGTAATAATTATAAAAATAATAGCAAAAATTAAATAAATAATATTCCATATTCAATTATAATTAAAATTATAAAAATGTTTAAAGTTAAAAAATATTGTAATGTAATTGGTGCAATTTTCATTTTGTTAATTGTGGGTAGGCTGTCTGTAACAACTATACCTCCAAGACATGTAACACCTTAGTCTCTCCCGTGACCATGGATGCTGTAAAGCATTCGAAACGTCGGGAAACAAAAATGTAAATAAATCCGCGACAAAATCCGAAAAGATAGTTTTATTTAAAATGTCAAATATTCGCGTAAATCTAAGAAAGTATTATTAACTAATATTGCTTAAAATGTTAAAATATGTTTTCTTCTTTCATAAGCAATTGGTCGATGTTAAGTTTAATAAGAATAGTCTATGGCTTAGAGTACCTAGTAATCTAGGGTAACTTCTATCCGATTCCGATACATTAACTGTTTCTGTAGGACATAAGATACGATACCTACACACACGCGCCGATATGACGCCATTTTGACAGTTCAACAAGGTATTCGTCAACTGCACCCTTACGGGGAAAATTATACAATAAGTAAGCACACATATAAATGCGCCTACGACGACGATGCATATTCGAGAAACTTACAAAATGCAAGTTACTTCCGTTTTCCGTATTATAGACTAGGGACTTACCCTCGCTTCACTCGGGTTCGATCCTGGGTGGCCCAGGGTCGTACGTTTTAACCGTTAGTATGGAATATATAGGCTACTAGCATTGCCCGCCGCTCCGCCCGCGTTCAGATGACCAAAAACCAAATTCTTAGGTTTTACATAATATTAGTACATACTCTTACATTGCAGTTTTTGTATTTTTTCTCAGAAATGAGACATTTTCCCGCGGTAAAAAGTATCCTATATTATGTTGACCCGGATAACCAGTTATAACCATACCTCATAAAAAACCCTCCCGTGGTTTTTCTGTGATGCGGTAACAGACAGACAGACAGACAAAAATTCTAAGAACTATAGATTCGGCCTCGGTATTGATAATAATGTTTATTTCAATAAGATTTTCCAAAAAATATTTAATGTACAGATTCGGCTTAGTTACAATTTTATTATATAGCGCGTTCAAAGTTCAAACAAATAAATAAACTCTGCCTCCTTATAATATTAGTAAAGATTTGCAAAAAAACATAAAAAAAACAATTACAGTCCCGCTGAGATTCTTTTGCAAGTTCTTAGAACTGAAGCTTTTTTTCCAAACAAGTGTTTTAACGTTCAGTAAAAAATTGAAATAATTGTAGTGTTGTATGTTGAATAAATATTTTGGAATCTAAGTTTAAAGCGCAGAAATTATGAATATGTTGGGAAGCAAATATTCGATTTGTTTAATATTTTACTTTGGTCGTAAAGAAACTATAAAATTATCTATTCAATTCTAATCAGTTGTTTTTACTTGACATGCTCGAAAATAGGGGAATAAGGAAGTTAATAAAATATACCTAAATGTCGTGAATATTTCTATTTCGTATTTTCAAAAAAAATTGTTCAAAATCTTTAGATAATAATACAACTTTTACCCTTAAAACATTTTCCCTTAATGTTGGATGTTTAATGCATTTACGCATACCACCTGCATATCTTAAAAAAAATACGAAAATCTCCTTGTGTCTTTATTTTGAAGTGAATAAATATTTTGAGGTGAAACATCTTTAGGCCATGAGAGGGAAAAAAGGATTGGCGTTACGATTTTTGTAATGGAAACGGTTGTTACGGAAGTTAATAAATAGTGAAATAAAAATTATTGAAAAAATAATATGAATATTTCTAAAGAATAAATTAAATAAAAGTGTATGCTTATAATAAATTAAATAAATATAGATATTTATAAAAAAATATTTCTTTCATTTATGTTTAAATGAGCGTGGAATCATATCTAAAAATACCCGTATTGTTATTTATTTTATTGGAGTACATAATTTGGTTTGGACGAGACGTTTAGCTCTATCTGGTATCCATAACACAGCCTCGTAACTTACCATGGATATGGAACTAGATGGTACTGTGTTCAATGTCCCGACATATTTATTATTATTATTTATTAATTTATTGAATTATTACAACATTTGGTTGAAAATTATTTTTTATCTTAACACCATCTGTACTATGTCATATCCTACTTATCCTAGCTGTCCTAATTATTTAAAACTTAAATTGAATTTCATAAAAAATACCGATTACCTACAAAAGTTTCACTTTTTTCTATGAAAGTTTTATCTATATACCAATAGGGAATATATGTGATTTTTTTTTACAATAGCTGACTTCGTTATATAATTGTATATATATTGCTTTACATAGGCTGGCACCGATTTCGAAAATATTTGATTAGGTATGTATAGTAAATGAAAACTACCAATCAGTTATTTTTTACTTTTTAGTGCTTTTGTTTGAAGTTGGTTTTTATTTTTTTGTTAAAAAGTTTTTATTTTTCCCTTTTTAGTGTAGACAGTAGTAGCAAAGTAAGAATTCTAACGTGTTAGGTTTGTCAAATCAAACAAAATAAGCCCAAACTCAAAGTATCTACTATTAGCCGTTGAAGAGTTCCACCTATCCGCCTTCTGGCCTTGCCATTAGATCAGGTCAACAACACCGAACCACTGTACTATCAACGGAAATAGAAACACTTGCAAAGTTTCAAGTCAATATGACAATTAGAAGTAGGTTAAATTCATCATTAGTTGTTTTTCCACCCTTAGGGGTGGTATTTTTTTTTTGAAATTTAAATGGGACCAATCTGGAAGTATACCCTTTCAAACAAAATAAAAATTGTCCAAATCGGTTAATAAATGACGGAGTTCCGAGGTAACAAAAAAAAAAACATACAGTTGAATTGAGAACCTCCTCCTTTTTGAAGTCGGTTGAAAATCGCTAATCGCTGTGATATGACATACTCTGACGTCATATTCGCTCTATGTAGTGATTTATTAATATGACTACTGGCTTACAGGCAATTCGTATTTATTCGATGATTAGTTGCTTGTTTGATCTATATGGGTAATTCAATTATTATTTTAACCCATACTTTATCTGTATGGTTAATAAAGTAAGTATTAATTATTATTATTTATAGTGTAAACGAAACCACTACAGATGTGACATTTGCCTGGAAAATCTCCACATATAAAATTACGATGTGCGTGTGTTCCTAATTCATCTCCTTTCAAGCGGCTTGACCGATTTTGATGGTCTTTTTTGTGTACTTATTAGTTCACCTGATTCTTTGATATAGTTGGACCCGGTAGACGGCTTTATTATTTTTAAAGTTCCCCCTAATCGTAGATAAATATTTTTGTGATTCTACAAAGATTTGAACTTTTAATTTCTTTTGATTCGTCAATTAAGTTTTCTTCAATCTTACATATTTAATTTTTTTGGAAAAATTAAACAAACATATTTACAAATATCTTTATTCGATTTGCATTAATTACGAAAAAATCAATATTATGTGGGTTTAAGGTTTTCGTCTTATAGATTCATTCTTTACGCAACCATGTGGTATAATATAGTTATGTAAGGATTTGGGATCCCATAAAGTTCTCACTCTAGAGTTCAACGCGTTTATAGTTGTATCAAAATATTTATGATTTATTTTAAATAACATTTGCTAAGAGTGGTTTTGGTGATATTTTATATAACATATTTGGTTAATAGTTATTATAAAAATTAGTAGGTATGTGTTATCAAAATATTTATTATAATATTTATATGTACCTAATTAATAAAAAGGAAATATATTATAAAAAGAAAACCGACTGCATAAAAGCTAACTAAAAAGATGAAAATAAGTTCACGAAGGAATATAGTATACTACAGTCAGACATACACGGTTCATCCTTGCCGCGAGATTACATACTTGTATGTATGTACTATGTCTCCGACTGCATAATATTATATTCCTTCGTGAACTTGTTGTCATCTTTTTAGTTAACTTTTAAGCAGTCGGGTTTTTTATTTTTATACTATATTTATTTAGCGAAAATTAGCGAGAATGGTTGTTAAACAACTTTAAATCATTATATATCCTAAATTGTCATTTAAAATTAAAAACGATGAAAGAAACCTAAGAATGATTTTTAATAAATAAATGTGGTTTTATTTATCATTATTTTAAGTAATACAGGGATGTTATACCTTTTTGGAATCCTTTTTATGAGCTCTTTAATTTGATACCCATATTGCAGAAAAAGAAGATTAAAAAAAACCCACATTAAACAATGAAATCTAGCAGCCCCCATATTTTTTATATGTCACCTATCTAAGAACACTTGAACTAATGAGACGAATCTAACGATACCTTAATTAAAGAAATCCATCAAGTGATTTGGAAGATATGAGGAAATAAAGAATATTACAAACCACATAATACAACCTGTAATCTGTGTTACAAACAAACATACAAAGATAGGCGCGAAAAACATAACCCTTTCCTTGGAGTCGGGTAAAAAGTTATTTAGTTATATTCTTATGAATTACTATCTTATCTTTGTAAAATACTATCTTATCTTTGTAAAATCAAATAAGTTGAATTACAATGAAAATTAGGTAAAATATATATTTCTGCAATGAATTTCTTTTTGTGAATTTAAAATATAACATCTGAAAGTTTTTTATCCGTAGTCACATTAAAAGTGTATTGTAACCGTGTAAAAGCTATTTCAAATAAACCTCTATATCACTCGTATTTTATGTGAAGATTAATTGATCCGATCGACAAAGGCGTAACTTGATCTCGCGCAGGCTTCGCACAGGCAGGTTCGATCTCTTTCATGTAATAAACTGAACATATTTAAGTGGGAGGAAGGCTCTAAAAAACTTGTTCCATATTCTGGAGAAGCCCGCGTCTGGATCCTTGTGACCGCGGGTGACTGGGCCAGACGCGGCCAGACGCGGCCAGACGCTTGGACCGATCTCCGATATTGCGATAGATGGCATTCACGTCGTGCGCCGTTAACGAACGGACGTCTCTTCGCTCGCTCCGTTTGAAGTTTATCGGACCGTTTTTTGTTTGTAGCGTTCCATTAAGTTTCACTGGCTCGTTGTTAGCACTGAAATTAAAAGCTTTTCAATTAGTTTGACTTTCGAATTATATTAAATTGCGCGTGAGCGATCAAAAGCTGGTGCAGTGATAACGGGGAGTGATGTGAATAGTGTTGTGTTTACGTTACGATGTGCGTGATAGTGTAGGCTGTATATCATGGGCTATGCGTCGAACAGTGCGGGGCGGGCGGCGCACGAGGCGCTCCTAGCGAGGCAGGATGCAGAGCTTCGTTTAATGGAAACGATGAAGCGAAGCTTACAGGCTAAGATGAAAAGCGACAGGGAGTACGCTCTCGCGCTGTCGGCCGCCGCCGCGCAAGGACAAAAGATGGACAAATGCGAGGAATTAAACGGTACGTTATGTGGAAAACAACTTTCCAAATGCATTCAACTACTTTGTTCTATTATGTTTTTTATTTATAATATACGCCAATAATAATACTATTATGTACAAACTTTTTAAAAGGTGTTACGTTTTTAAAACAATAGCATAAATAATTCTTCTACCCGCATAATATATATAACGGTTAGATTTTAAAAGATGGAATTTAAACAAAGGATTTATTGATTACGATTTACAACTGGTATTTAAATATTTATAGTGATAGAAACTGGCAGTGATGTAACACATTAATAATAATAATAATTAATTGAGGAGATAATGACGCACCAGCCTCCTTGTAAAACTTGTTTTATTAATCTCTGACACCATTTTGGTCAAATAATAATTTGAATAATCGACGTTGTCGTATAATAGAGCAAATGAAGTCTTCGAATAGGGTTTGATTAACGGTTCTATTGAGTTAGGGTTTTCAACTTTTTGTACAAGAAATAAAGCATATTAGGGTCGCAGAGCTAAAATAAATAGTAAGTATATTAGAAAAATAAAGAGCATTTTTTTTAAGTTTTAAAAACATTTTTTGAGCTTCTTGCATTTTTAATACAAATTTAATTACTGTACTCTGCGGGCACGTTTTGAAGCCAAGAAGAAAATTGAATTGAATCAAATCCAAGTAACAAAAATTATTAATATTGTTCGCAGGATCTATTATAGCTCTCGCATGGCGAACTATGACTGAAGAATGGGAGAACACTAGCCGCCTAATCAAGGCGAATGCGGAGGCTTTAGAGTCAAGGGCTCTAGACCGCTTAAACACACTCATGACCGAGAGACGGAAGGCCCGTAAGGTTTACCAGGAAGACCATAGCAAAATATCCGGTCAATTTACACAGGTGAGTTATGATGAACATGAAAATATTATAAAAGAAAGTTTTGTTTACAATTATTTTAAAGTGAACACTTTAAATTAAAATATTTTTGTTTAATTTGTGAAAAGAACCCGAAAGCTTTAAATTTCTTAGTGTTATAAATCAATATTTTATTTGTATCTTAGTATTTATTTGAAGCATTACTAACGCATATTCAATAATTAGTTCATGATAGATGTATGTAGATGGTAGATACTCTCTTTTTTTAACTGGTCGACGTAGCTAGGGCCGACCTCGGCACCACACCCAACATTAATAATAATAATACTCTTTTTTTAAGGTACTCGTATAATTATATTGGTAAAATGCTAAGTAATACGAACAAAAAAATCATATAATATTTCACGGCTTGCTGCTATATACTAAAACTTTGCAAAATTTATTTGACTTAAATGATTCATAACCAAATACACTGATTCATTAGGTTCCTGGATGAAATAAATTGAATTTAAGTGAACTATCCATAAAAATTAAAATTGAATTTGTGCGTCACCTACTTACTGTAAGCTTTTACTATTTAAGTTTAAATACGAATTAATCGTATTAATTAGTTTAGCATATATATGTATATTGTATTTAACATGACCGACAAATCCATTCTTAAACTGTTATTAACTTAAATCGAAATGTCTATGATTTTAATATATGTAAGTCCTCATTATTAAAGTTATGTGCTTATTTACATAATATCAAATGTTTAAAATTGTTGGCCTGTCTGTTTATATGCGTTAATCTCTGAAATGAACCGATCTTAACTGGAATTACGGTAAATCACTTGATAGGGATAGAAAATTTGAGTGACCTTGGTTAGTTTTATATCTAACTAGCATTGCCCGCGGCTCCGCCCGCCTTCAGATGAACAAAAACCAAATTCTTAGGTTTTACATAATAATTAGTATACTCTTACATTGCAGTTTTTGTATTTTTTCTCAGAAATGAGATATTTTCCCGCGGTAAAAAAGTATCCTATATGTTGACCCGGAAAACCAGCTATCACTATACAAAATTTCATCAAAAGCCCTCCAGCGGTTTTTCCGTGATGCGGTAACAGACAGACCGACAGAGAGACAAAAATTCTAAAAACTATAGAATCGGCCTCTGTATCAAGTTCAACAATCTCAGATGTCCAGGTTCGAATCTCGGTCGCATACAAAGTTTTTACTTTTATTTTTTTTAAATATTTATTCAAGTTTTTTTTTTTTTTTAAAGAAAATTGTACTATTTAACCAAAAACTCCGAGCGAAGCTCGGTGGCCCAGGTACTTGTTATAATAACCTCAGTCAATAGTTTAGTCACGGGAAAATAAATAAGTATATAAAAAGCTGCGCAAACTGCTGTGATAGAGTTAGTGTTTATTATAATATAACGTTGGTAGCTTTATCAATGCTGATATCAGCGTAGCCGATCACGTTCCGTTGTCGATAACCGCGCTGATTCATTCAATTCAAAGCGTTTTCCACTTCTTTTTCAATGATGCATACTGTTTCACGTCCTGTTCTATCACTTTATGCTAAACTATCGTTAATATCAGTTAAATAAATATGTTAAACGTGAAAAATACTTCGCGTTCACCATATTTATTATCTCGTCTATCACTATGTCATAAACGGAGTTTAAGTTCATTACACTAAAAGCTCAAGTTCGTGTATTTTATGGTTTTGGGCGAAGTTGTATAAATATTGAGCTCTTAATATTTTCTTACGAACTTATAGGATAAGAAATATCCTATAATATCATAAGAAAATATTAAGAGAATAAAACAGATTTGTAGGTGTCGAAACCTTGCTGCCAAATAAGAAAATTTGCTATGCCATCTCTTACCAGTTCTGTTTTGCATCAAGATAATGATTGGATTTATTAACTAATATATAATCAAAGTTACCATTAAGGGTAATTAAAGGTATCATTTGACTAATTCTAGAGCTGAATGTTTCCGTTACTGACCGGTTGAGCACGTTTCCTTGTTCAACCGTCCGTTTCCTATCGTTGCGCTACTCTTATTACTCTAGTCCATATAATTAGGTCTTAGAGAACGGTGCAAGAAAGAACTGTGTCAGGGTCAGATCACAACTGTTAGCTTTTCCAATCGCAGATGTCGACCGGAATTATCAGGTGCTGGCCATTGCAAATAACTTACGGTATACCCACATTGTTGAATGGCATACATACATACAAGTATACGATAACAATCTGATTGTAAATAAACGCATTATCATTTTAATGCATTTACTTTGTATGTCTATACATATAATAAAATTTTAACTAAGCCGAATCTTTACATTAAGTATTTTTTGGAAAATCTTATTGCAATAGACATTATTATCGATACAGAGGCCGAATCTATAGTTTTTAGAATTTTTGCCTGTCTGTCTGTCTGTCTGTCTGACTGTCTGTCTGTCTGTCTGTTACCGCATCACGGAAAAACCACTGGAGGGATTTTGATGAAATGTGGTATGATGGTAGCTGGTTATCCGGGTCAACATATAGGATACTTTTTACTGCGATAAAATATCTCATTTCTGAGAAAAAATACAAAAACTGCAATGTAAGAGTATACTAATATGTAAAACTTAAGAATTTGGTTTTTGGTCATTTGAACGCAGGCGAAGCCGCGGGCAATGCTAGTCTTATATATGTACCTGTATTGACATAATGACTAGAGTGTAATACTAAGATTATTTACTTATTTATCTATACTAATATTATAGCGAGTTATAAAGTTTGTGAGTTTGCGAGATTGTGAGTTTGTGACGTTGTAGATCTCTGGATCTACTGAACCGATTTAAATGAAATTTGGTAAGAAGGTAGTTTGAGACCCTGGGAAGGATATATGATGTTGACTTTTATCCTGGAAATCATTCCTTAAGGGGTGGAAAATGGGGATGAACGTTTGTATGGGGAATCAAGCTAGGGACGAACCCGAGTAAAGTGAAAGTGAGTCGCTAGTTACTTATCAGTAAAGAACACTTTAAATTCCATTGACGTTATTGTAATACAATATCCGTTACGAAGCACATACATTTATATCGTTGTAAAATAAAAAGATCAACTTAACCTTTCTTTTGTCTCGAACTGTAAGGTATTCTGTCAGTTATTAGGCAAACAGTCGTATTAGTTTGGGCGTTTTGCCAATTTTTTAGTCGAATAAAAACAAGCTATATTGGCGCTAACTCTACGTCGAGCATGTGTTACAAATGAAAACTGGAGTATGAAATTGGGAGCTGCCCTAATATCTATTTTTGAATACTTGAGCTTTTAACTTTACATAATGTCTATTTTAGTTATGATATTTGATTACTTAATCTTGTTTACAAACAGCAAAATTTAATTAATTTTAGTTTTTTTTTGTTTATTGTAGAGGTATTGATGATACGAGATGACTTTACCATATATGTATATCTTAGATTAGAAACACATTTTTATTTATGAAATATATTAAATCAGAATAGATTATTAATTATTAGAATATTCCTTACTTTTGACCGACTTCCAGAATGGGAAGATATTCAATTCGGCTGTAATTTTATCTTTTTATTTTTTATGTATATTTTACGTAATATCTGCGAAAAAAGATTTGATTTTCAACGTTAATGGAATTACTTTAGATGTCTTAAAATTCTGTATAACTTTTTTTGGTTTTATGTACGGTATTAAATAATCTTATTTTATCCTTTAAAATTTTACAAAATCTACAGTCAGGTACTTAATAATGTAATCGATATATGTATACTAAGAACCATACAGTACATATTGAATTATAAAGGGAATTACAAAGAAAATTACATAACTATGAGCTAATCAACAAGCGATTTGTGTCATCTAATCCTTTCAATATCTATTACCTATCATTAATATAACTACATATTATGCGAGTATTCATGTCGATATTGTTACCTTGGCATTTGCCGTTTTACTTAACTATCAACAATGGTATGCTAATATAGAACAAACGACATTAGATTCTTAGGTTCAAGTAATCTTAACTTAGATATGTATGCTAGAGCCGCCCTAAATGTTTAATAATATAAATCCAAATAAATTTGTCATATTTATCCATCTGTTACTAGTACAGTAGGAATATCATAAAGATGTTAGCCATAGTTGAACCGATTACCCACATATTAGCTTGCGGTGTTGCAAATACCTTTGCCAACATAGCTCTCACTCCCAATATCTAAGAAAACAATGATTAAGAAAAGGATAAAATATGTAATTTTGTTAGTTTTAAGTGGGTCGCATAAAGTAAGTCTTTGTATCAGGATTGGCTGCGCGGCACCTGTCACCGTTCATTGGCCCTGCGCCCGCGTCGATGGCGCGTGCAACGCTGATTTCTTTTCAAAACTTTTTTGCTATTGCTATTATTTCCAATATCTCTCTATTGACCATCGTTTCACTTCAATTTCTCTTTTACTTTGATATTTTTGTAAGCAAACATTTACCTTCTATAGCTTGAATTGTTAGACTAGATAGTTGGACGATTCTCTAATCATTTATTTTGCAAACGTCACGGATACCTGTCCGGAATGAAAGAGTTAGAAATGAAGACAATGCTATTTCGATGTGTCAATCGCATCTAAAATGTTCTCAAGATGGTCTTATTGAACCGGATCTGACCCAGTTCCTGAGTTACAAATCAACGCGGATGGAAAATAGCGAATCCCGTTTTTGTGTTGTTTACCAAGTGAATAAAACGCAGGAACTAGGGCAAAAGAATCGCGAACAACGCGCCATCTACTTCGATCTCAACAGCGGCGTTAATAATATTGACCTACTTCAATCATTTGAGCGTGAATGTGTGCTAATTTCACAGATTTATGTTTTTGTATTAAAGGAAAAATTATTAGAATATATTGACAAAACGAATTGCATTAATTATATATTGTAAAGTATTTATATTTGTAATAATAAACATAATTCTAGTGCTATCGAGCTGCGACGCACGTGATTTTTTGAACATCGTTTTT